GAAGCCACAAGATTAGGAAATTGGAAAGGTACAAAAAGAAACTATAATTATCCACCATTAAAGATGGGTTCCCTTATTTTTATTAATGAAAAGGAAAATGCTAATACTTGTATGAATAGAAAGTAGAGGTGTTCTAATGACTTGGAAACATACCAGTTTGTCTCACATGTCCATAATTAGCTAAATTTGAAGAAAATTACCAGCAGTGGCCAAAAAGTCTGTTTTTGTTTATCCAGACTGTAAATACACGGACATTTCTTATTGGTTAAAACTCTTATCAATATGCAATAAGAACATAATGATATGATTATGAATACATAATAATTCATTAGAAACACCAATTAATCAAATAGTTTGCTTAATTTGACACTAAAAAAATAAAGAAACCCATCTTTAAGGTATTTTAGATGTAACAAATTAATATATTCACCGACCTGCACTTTCTGTAATTCTGCAGTCAGTCCATTGTATACCTGAACTACTATCATCAATATGTACTGATATCCCATATAAATACGACCTCCAAATCTTACTATCCAACGGTAATACTATATAGTCAGATTGGTTACTTATCTTCCAGTTAATACCATCCTTCAACAAAATTCAAAAATTGTCTGTATAAAAACACTTAATACAATAATAAAATATTTTCACTGTTATAATAGTGCTCAATACATCTATTGTAGAGTGATATAGAAATATCACTGTTAAAATAGTGCTCAATACATCTATTGTAGAGTGATATAGAAATATCACTGTTATAATAGTGCTCAATACATCAATTGTAGAGAGATATAGAAATATCACTGTTAAAATAGTGCTCAATACATCTATTGTAGAGTGATATAGAAATATCATTGTTATAATAGTGCTCAATACATCTATTGTAGAGTGATATAGAAATATCACTGTTATAATAGTGCTCAAAACATCAATTGAAGAGTGATATAGAAATATCACTGTTATAATAGTGCCCAATACATCAATTGTAAAGTGATATAGAAATATCATTGTTATAATAGTGCTCAATACATCTATTGTAGAGTGATATAGAAATATCATTGTTATAATATTGCCCAATACATCTATTGTAGAGTGATATAGAAATATCATTGTTATAATAGTGCTCAATACATCTATTGTAGAGTGATATAGAAATATCACTGTTATAATAGTGCTCAATACATCTATTGTAGAGTGATATAGAAATATCACTGTTATAATATTGCTCAATACATCAATTGTAGAGAGATATAGAAATATCACTGTTAAAATAGTGCTCAATACATCTATTGTAGAGTGATATAGAAATATCACTGTTAAAATAGTGCTCAATACATCTATTGTAGAGTGATATAGAAATATCATTGTTATAATAGTGCTCAATACATCTATTGTAGAGTGATATAGAAATATCACTGTTATAATAGTGCTCAAAACATCAATTGAAGAGTGATATAGAAATATCACTGTTATAATATTGCCCAATACATCAATTGTAAAGTGATATAGAAATATCACTGTTAAAATAGTGCCCAATACATCAATGA